CAAAAGCATCGATATATTTCCATGCAAGCATGCCGAATCGATTCTCACTCAGTATTATCTGCATTACCCAATAAGCATGTGAAACCATGTGTCTTTGTCATTAACAAAAATGACAGTGATAGGCTAAGTGGAACAATTATCCTGCCTAAGTCCCCTTGTATCATGTTTTCAGAAGCAGCACGCTGTTGTCAATGGCTCTTCTTCGTCAGCTGTTGAGCAAGCTCCACCCAGTGCAAAAGTGTCAGCTGGTCGGCAGGGTTTCTCCAGAGATTTTGCGGTAGCAAGTCGACTTCCGCGGCGCTCGTGACATCGCATGACAATGCCCCTGGCCAGCTAGTCGCGCCGGAAGCGCCGCGGTTGTCGGCCGCGCGGCGACTGCACACCTCCGGCCGCCAGCGGGCAAGGTCATGCCGTTCCTGCTGTCCGACATCGGCGAGGGCATCGTGGAGGTGGTGGTCAAGGAGTGGTACGTGAAGGAGGGCGACACGGTCAGCCAGTTCGACAGCTTGTGCGAGGTGCAGAGCGACAAGGCGTCCGTCACCATCACCAGCCGCTACGACGGTGTCATCCGCAAGCTGCACTACAGTGTCGACGACATGGCGGCCGTTGGCCGGCCGCTGGTCGACATCGAGACGGAGCCGGGCTCTTCTGACTCGGAGGACGAGGTGCAGGAGCGCGATGCCATCGAGGTGGTGGGCGGCGAGCACTACACGCTGCCCATTCCGGCTAAGGTGCTCACGACGCCCGCCGTGCGCCGCATGGCCATGGAGAACAGCGTCACGCTCAGTGAGGTGAAGGGCACTGGCAAGGACGGCCGCGTTCTGAAGGAGGACCTCATCCGGTTCGTGGGGGAGCGCGGCATGGGCAAGCCGCCGAAGGTGCAGGACTCGGGGGAGGCGAAGCCGCCGCAGCCGGCGGCGGTGAGGCGGGCTCCAGCCGACTCGGCGGTTCCGGCCGATTCGGTGGCTCCGCTGTCCCTGCCAAAGACCGCTAACGTCATGCTGGCCGAAGACAAGACGACTCCTGTGTCGGGCTTCACCAAGGCGATGGTCAAAGCCATGAAGCTGTCGATGACCGTGCCGCACTTCGGCTACTGCGATGAAATAGAAATGACGGCACTGGTGAATCTGCGTCCGACGCTAAAGAAAAGCGCCGAAGCGTTCGGCATCAAGTTCTCCTACATGCCGTTCATCATAAGGCATGCTCGATGGCGCTGCTGCATTTCCCCGTGCTCAACGGTCAGTGGATCCGCCGCGGAGAAGATCACCTACAAGGCCAGCCACAACATCGGCATCGCTATGGACACGCCGAACGGCCTAGTGGTGCCAAATGTGAAGCAGGTGCAGCGGCTGACGCTGCTGGAAGTGGCGCAGGAGCTGAACCGGCTGCAGGCGCTAGGCGCACGCGGCCAGCTAAGCGCCGGCGACCTCGCCGGCGGCACGTTCTCCCTCTCCAACATCGGCGCCATCGGCGGCACCTACGCCAAGCCGGTGATCGTGCCGCCCGAGGTGGCGATCGGCGCGCTGGGTCGCATCCAGAAGCTGCCGCGCTTCGCTGCGGACGGCTCCGTGGTGGCAGCGCACGTCATGCAGGCCTCCTGGTCGGCCGACCACCGCGTTATCGACGGCGCCACCATGGCGCGCTTCTCCAACATGATGAAGGCCTTCCTGGAGCAGCCCACCACCATGCTGATGCAGATGAAGTAGGCGCGAGGAGCCGGATCGCGCCGGCGGCAAGGAGTGCTCAGTGACAATGTCTTGACACTGTCCACTTGTCCGGGCGCCGTTCGCCGTAAACGGCCGGGACGGGGTTCTCGGGTTTCATGAAAGCAGCCTGTGCGCGTGCCGAGTCGGCGGCGGGCCTGTGAAGCGGCGCCAGTGCTGGGAATGACGGGTATGGGACCTTTGCTCTGTTTACACTCAAGTACGCCACGCGAGACCCAGCGGTCGCGGGTCCGGGCTGGAGGTGCTCCAGACGTCGGACGGCTTCCATCTGAATTTAGCGGGACGGCTGCTGTGGCCGGTTCTTGCGTTAGGAGGCCAGAATTGACGGGGCCATGTGCGCGGTCGGGACGCAGTCAGGGATCGCTCCCGGCCTGCGTCTGTGCCTGGATGTTCGAGCCAACTAAGTCCAGGCGCGGATATTCGGGTCAGTTGTCGAGGAAGAAGGCCGCTGCCATGATCTGACGCTGCGCGTTTAACTTACCTGGCCCCTGAGTGAGAGCCTATATTGCGGGCAATCTAGAACCCAGACAGAAAATAGTGCAACGCTGTTTGCACAAGATGAACCGATGTGAATGGTTAGCTTTTGAATATGCCCTGTGAGAGACATGTTCTGGTGTGTGCTTTTTTTAGTAAAGCTGTGCTTGTTTTGTCAGATTTACCTTGTCCGTGGCTAAGTGCAATATTTTGGCGTTGCCGGTCTCGTAAAATGTGATAGTTGCCTATTGTCGGGTCGTTTTCCATGAATGTCTGCTGATACTTTAAGACGTTTGTGGGGTGCCGGGCTGGTGATAGGTATATTTCATGTGTGTGTGTGTTTGCTAGTCCGGGGAGCCTACCACATCGTGTAGATGTTTTTCAAGGGGGCGTCGGAGGAGTACTGGATGTGTTAGTACGTAGTAAATCGTCAGATGGCGCTGAAGAACAAATGCAATAACACACACAGTCTCGGTTTTGACTGACGCTTTTTGGCAGGCGAGTGGCAATGCTCATTGCTGTGCCCTAAGACATCAAAGTTTGGAACGCCCTAGTTGAAGCGATGCTATCTTGGAGATGTTGTCATCAACCGCGCTAGTAATCAAGATGTGTGATTAAATTTTCGGAAACTCCAAGCCGTGTGGTCTGACAGACCACCACACTGTCGTCCACAGTGCTTATAGTTCTTTGCAAGAATTTATGCAAATATGAACCCTCTTTCAAGGTTACCTATTGAAGTACCTCCAACGATTGCTTTACGGGCCATTTGGCCGCTTTCAGTTCAAGTTTCGGAAGCTAGAAAACAGCGTCCGGTGTAAATGGAAGCCATTCGCCGAATATCTCTCGTTTCCACTGACCGCACTTAGCAAGTAAACGCATTAGTTTATATACGATCATTTTCGCAATGCTGTTTACAAGGACTGAACCAGCGAACTTTACCCCTGACAAGCACGCGAGAGTGCATGTGCGAGGTATGTGTGGTAGCACCGACGACCACCAGCTGCATATGACAACATTTTCCCTGACCACGGGCACCGTCTCTTCTGCACAGCTGGGCGGGGGAGGGAGGAGGCGGTAGCGTGTCACCAGGCGCTGGCCGGCCGGACTCCGCCGATACACCGGTTCACGGCACTGTTTGGTATACAGCTGTCAGTGCGCGCGACCGCCGGCCCCACTGCCAGACGTGTCGGAGAGCCGCCGAGCAGGGAGCGCGCGTGCCGCCGGACCATGGCCGCCGTCCGACTGCTGCTGTTGCTCTGTACGCTGGCCGCCGCCGTCGCCGCAGTCAGCGGTGAGTGTCGGCGCCGGGGGTCGGTCAGCCGCGGCTGGAGACGGTCCCAGCCGGGGCTTCTCCAGGTCGGCCAGCCGCGGCTGGAGACGGTCCCAGCCGGGGCTTCTCAGGTCGGCAGCCGCGGCTGGAGACGGTCCCAGCCGGGGCTTCTCCAGGTCGGCCAGCCGCGTCTGGAGACGGTCCCAGACGGGCTTCTCCAGGTCGGCCAGCCGCGGCTGGAGACGGTCCAGCCGGGGCTTCTCCGGGTCGGCCAGCCGCGGCTGGAGACGGTCCCAGCGGGGCTTCTCCAGGTCGGCCAGCCGCGGCTGGAGACGGTCCCAGCCGGGGCTTCTCCACCTCCGAGCATGTGGCCACTGCCGAGATAGGTGGGGAGGAAGGGCAAGTAGACAGTTGAAGACTTGCCTTGTTTTAGTGGACTAATGAGACGCGTGCGCTGTTGTTTTCAACTTGAGTTTACATTTGTGTTCGCGTTAGGTGGCTGTGGCTGGTCCAGAAAGAGGAGGCATTGCCCATCTGGCTTTGCACTAGACACACCTACGTTGCCTGTTGCTTTCTAATGCAGAAACACCGATGAGTGGTTGGCGTGGTGCCTCAGTGACTGTAAACCGCATTTTGGTTGGTTGCAGTGCTCATGATGCAGGTAAATTAGTTTATTTGGGACGCCAAATGAACTTAGTTTCGGGTGGAGAATATGTAACCGACATTATCATTACCGGCGTCACAAGGTGTTGATGTGCCAGTGGACTGTAGATCATTTACCCCTGAGTCTATGGTATATATATATATATATATATAATATATATATATATATATATCACTTACAACTTAAGACTAGACTGCGATGCATAGTGTCAATCAACAGCAACGGTGACAGCCTAAAGTCAGCACGAAAATTGTTCAGAGGGCGCGAAATAACCTCTGCATCTGAATTGCCATTTAGCCTCAGTAACGTCACAGGCAGCTATGATCATTGGGGACCGTATGACTGCGACATTATGCAGGAAGGCCGGCTGTGCTGAGGGTAGCGCATGCTTGAGTCCTTCATGGTTCTTAAGCTGGGGAGTGTGCGCATGTCATGCTGCGCGATACACGCCATAGGACCGCACCACATGCAGATATGTGCACCAGATGATAACAAAGACTGCCAAACTAAAAAGAATGCAGACCACGCGCTACAGCACGGATGCCGCAGCAGGATGTAATGAAGACCACATCCTGACATTACAGATTGCGTGCCATGCTTGTCACGAATAGTCTCGACCGTCAGTGACAAGTTGGCAGAGAGGACATATGATCTTAGTTCTTGGTAGAAAAGTGTCGCAAAGCATTGTGACGTAAAAGACGAGTGCAATTAGTAAAACAAAAGTGCAAACAGGAACTTTAAGGAATTTGCTCGACCTGTCATGTTGCAGAATTGCAAATGCATCTGCAGAAACGCTTTTACAAAAAAGCTGCACAGTTAGAACAATCCTTTAAGGTTTCTAAAGTAAGTAGCAATATCACGCCAGCAACTTTTCCACCCCTAAAGCCTCCACGCGCCCGCTTGGCCAGTTGAATTACCTATCGCTCGGGTGGGGTGGGGGGATGGGGGCTCATTTTGACCACCTGAGATCTCAGAAACTAAGACAGATACAAACACCAAATCAGTGGGAAGTGTTGGGATGTACGTTAATCGTTCTTGGCCAAGCTTTGAGGTTCCTAGGTCATGATCTTAGGGTCAAATAAGGTCAAACAAGACTCAACCTTTAGATCAGTGTCCAAAGCCCCCCCCCCCCCAGAGACCTTATCCTGCCACCGCCGTTCACCTAGATGCCTTAAGCAAAGGTTCTAGCAAATGGGCAAGATGTTCTAGCAATGGGTCACTGGTGTACATTTAAGGTTGGTGACCTTGTTTGACGTCTCGAAGGTCATGGTCACCAAAATCATACAAAATTGTTTTAATTTCTGCATTTAGATATGGATTAGGGATTACGCTGGGCAGTACATTCCTAACAACAAAGGTTGACCTGGGCCATTTTAGGTCCAGTGACTTATTGTGACCTTGTAAAGGTCGTTGAAGATGCATTATGTGGTTCGTGCTATCAGCAACCTCAAAATGAGCACCAAAAACTACCCCATGTAGCAAGCTCTGGGGTAAGAACAGGTTAGTTTTTACCTTGATCTGACCTTCATACTTGACCCTAGGTCAATAACCCTTGACTCAATTTTGAGTTTCGCAAGAAGCTATCTCAGAAATGTGTGGCCCTAGTCCAAACGCTCCGTTGTTGCATCAGGTTAAGCGATTCGCCAGAAGCTGTTTTCGCTGAATCCATGTGATGACTTTGATCTCACTGAGGTCAGCGAGCCTACATGGTGCATGCAAATGCTTGATGCCTAGCGATCCGATCTTCAGTTGTCTACACCTAGGCAAAATTTAGCGTGGCTGCGCGGCGCCGTTAGGAATTATTCCAAAAAACCTTCGGGAGAGGGTTCAGATTGACCTCCGCCCACCCGAGTGCGTGTTAAGAGTGTTGCAATTGTGTGAGGTTTGTAACTGAAATTGGCATTTTTGAAGAGCTTCCAGTGCGGCTTACAACTCTGTCCCTCTAAAGACCTAAAACCATCTAGTTTTTTAGCTGCACACGCCCACGAAGATGTGCAGACCTTTTCATGCAACCTATTTTCAAAGTCATTCAGGCACACATAACGCCATAGAAATGTCATTGTAGTCCTGCCACCCCATTGGCCATGCAGTGTTCAAGGCCAGGAAAACATAGATTCGTCGAGCCTGCCATATCTAGAAAACGTGAGCTCGACTTACAGATATAATGGACGTCAAATGACTCCCAATCAATGATGAGCAGACTTGTGCAAGTTCCAATCACGTTCATTTAGTTGGATTAGAGCTCTTTTGACCAGTAAAGATTATCTCAGGGATGTGGGATGAGGGGGGAATAGATAACGGTGGGACAGGACTGCATGCGCCTGGGGGACCAACCGCCAAACCCCAGCTCGCGCAGAAACCCCTCTGTGGATATGTGCCGAGCGCCGGTCGGGGTCCTGCTCCACGGGGTTCCTCGACCTACTCGTGGCTGGCGCATTTAACCTACCGCGAACTGGCAGGGCGTCGTGAGGATGAAAGATGAAACAAGAAAGAGGATATACCACTGTTTTTCACAACGCAGATTGAAGGGGAATGCGATTCCCCCGTCGTTTTCAGATTAATAAAGATAGACCTAAGCGGAAAACACCAGTAGATTCGTATTGATTGCATATCGCGGCTAATAATAATTTTGCCAGGCCAAAGGTCAAACTTTCCCGAAAATCGCATTTTTTCAGATTCATGACCGACAGTGAATACTAGATATATAAAACTATGGACAACAGTATATAGTTTTTGTGTGTTTAGAGCATGCATTTATTATAAATGGCTACGTTAATACACCAATGTCGGCCCGGCGCACGCTTTCCGCGGCATCATCGGATTCTGCCCATGCCTGCCACAGATCGCCGTGCAGTATTCCCCAAAGAACCACTCCTGCTCCGAAACCAAAAAAAGCTAATGACGCACTTGTGGTGCCAAAACACGCGCATTGAACACCCCATGGGCTGTTGAAACTTTGAGCACCATCGCATAACATGCCGGAGAAGTATCCTGAAAACAAGTTAACAGGGTCGCCTTAACCCCCATGCGGGCCTCGGTGCAAGGTAGGTACCTCCAAGACTGGTTAGGCGGCGGAGGCGGGCTGGAATGATGACGTACCTGAGCCTTGTAATGTAAATGGCTCGAAAACCTAAGCAAACTGGGCCAGACGCCTTCGGGAACCCACACACACGACTCTTACCAGTGTATTGAAATATCACAATCGACAGCACGATAGGTCGTGGCTTAAGCTGTCCGCCCTGTTGCAGGCGCCGGCAACAGCACGGTGACCTGCGAAGCCGGCGCCTTCGCCTGCGCCGACGGCATGCTCTGCGTCCCCAGCACCTGGCGCTGCGACATTGAGCATGACTGCTCGGACGGCAGCGACGAGTGGAACTGCGCGGCACCGGCGTGCGCCACCGGCGACTTCCGCTGCGACTCCGGCAGGTGCATCCACGGCTCCTGGCGCTGCGACGGAGACCAGGACTGCCCAAACGGCAGCGATGAGCAGAACTGTTCTTCGACCGGCTCAGAGCAGCCCGAGGACCACGAGAGGCCCGAGCGGCCCGTAAACCGCACCTGGGTGACCAGCGGTGGCCGGCCCGTGATGCCCCAGGCCGTGATGCTCTTGGCGCCACTGCTGCTGCTGCGCGGCGCTCACGCTCTGTAATGATCACCGGCGTGCGGTAACGTGACGTCACGGTGACCCGGGCGAAGGTCATCGCCCTGACGATAGCGAACGCGAACCACCCGGCACAAGTGCCTCCTATTGCAGTGCGAGGTCCCGCCTGATCGAATGAAGTCCGCATATGGACAGTGGGCGTCCCCGAAATCACCGCGCAATGACTGCACGGTACGCGGCAGCAGCAACAGCAGCGAGCAGCAGCAGCAGCGAGAAGGTGGTGCGGCTCCGTGGTGGAGAATCAGCTGTCGAGCAGGCTCCGGACTTCGCGAGAGGAGGGGGGATGGGGCAGAATCCGTCACTCTTGTGATAGCTGTACCGTGCGCGGTGCGGACGCTATGCGATGCCGCTAAGAAATGCGGGACTCGTGAGTAGCGCATGGCGTCGCACATTTTGTTACACTTGTAGCAGAGTGAGCGAGGCCCAGTTTGAGTTTGTTTTGTCCTTGTTTTAAACTGGGACCGGTGGCATTCATGCTCTCTGGGAAATGATATATTTGAATACAATGAGAGCGGTGTCATGCTGTCTTAAGCCATATTAAGCACACAATATGCTCCAAATTTCAACAACTCGGCAACTCCTAACATGTTCACGTTTCGCCGTACGAACGCAAAGGATTTGCAGGCAAAGCAATGTGTACGCGACGTTTCCACACGACATTTCAGCGCGAGGAAAGTAAAGCGTCCTCGCTCGATAACATCGGAAACCCTAAACTCACGGGTCCGAAGCCCAAGCTTAGGATCGTCGACCGAGTGTCGTAGCGGAATAGGATCAACACATTTAGGCTGAAAAGGGAAGAAAATGGCATTGACAAACGCATAGCTTGACATGTGCAGACAGTGTGGGACCTCGAATAAACTAAGAATCTGACTGTTTCTGTACGCTTTGAACACTTCCTGTCAGTCTACGGCAACTGTAGCGAATACCGATGTTAAGCCAAATGCACAGTGCTGCTGAGAGCCACTGTCTGTAAAGCAACAAGTGATCTTGGCAACACCCAATCCGTGGCTGTGTCGGAGATCGACCGAGAAACGCCAATGTTGCTTCGTTTGAAACCGGTCTCGAATGCAACGCGTTGCTGTACAAACCAATACATGTGACCATGACACAGACGTAGTCCAGTTCCCTGTGATCAGTATGAAACTAAATTATTTGCGTTTTTCGCAGTACCAAAGGCGAGCGTTTTTAACTAAAAATGCATCGCTTTTGTAGGCAAAAGTGCTCAGCCTTGGTCAGACCCACGGCCAGCAAATTTCCAAACCAAGCAATTCGTTGACCTACCAAAGCTCCATCAGTGTATTTCTGCCTCCCAAAGTTCCATGGCTGACGAACTTTCCCAAACATTGACAATGCCTGGTTGGGTGGGTTTCTGCGGGGTCCGACTGCACTTCGTCTATATGCTCATGATTTGTAGCTTACGTCTGTTATTGTCTCGCTGTGCCACGCAGGTTACCTTGCTCGCCACAGTTTAAGGTACTTGTCAGAAGTATTAAGCCGCCCGTTCTGACGTGTTGTAGCACAACCAGCGGTTCTCAAGTTCCGAGCGCTCACCCAAATTGCTTTGGGAGTGCCCGTCGGGCGTTATCACAGTGTTTTGAACCGATGTTTCACTAAGACGTAGTCTCTTGAGTGCAGGAACGTCACGCAAAGTGAGCGTTTGTGCCTCACATCACAGTGCTATGTGGAAAGCTTGTAATCAAAATGACAATTTAGAAAACATCCACGTTTGTACTGGCCACATCCAGGGGATACAAATCTGGTAATATCAACTGATGAATACCTGTTTTATGAGAACCAAGACCATCCCATGTATCGCGAAAGATCACCAACAAAGATCACCATCAAAGATCACAGACTTATGCAAGGCATGGTCCAACCACTCACCTGCCAGCTAGCTGGGGGGGGGGGGGGGGGCTACGACACAGATCTAAAGATGCATGTTTGGGCACGCGCACGCATCAGGCTAAGTAGAGGTGGGTAGAGGAGTAGAGTAAGTAGAGCCCATTCCCCGCTCACAGCGCAGATGCGGCTAGGATCGGAAGGAAACAAGCCGCAGAGGCAGCCCTATCCAACTTTAGAGACATAAAGCTCTGGGCTTTGCAGTTTTGCGGACATGTGTGTAGTTGCCTCATGCAGGCGCTCCAATGCAAAGCTTAGTTCATTATGCCCCGTGGTTTACCGACAGCCTGATTGTGCGGGTTCCATACATGTCCGCGGATCAGGCAGGACGCCAGCTTGAGCAATAATCCGAATGTGCACGTGCACGTGCACGGGTAAGCGTATGGGAGAACTGTCGATCAAAGCTGCACCGATGGAAAACTCTCCATTTCATGTTGCTTCCCAGTGATAATAGCGCTGGAGACTGTCCCAGGGTGGGGTCAATCATGGCGTGGATCGATTCCCACCAAAGACAAGCGCATCGCTCAGATACGAAGGCTAAGGATTTTTCGATGGTTTTGATCAATAACAGGACAATGAAAGCAACCCTGCGTCCCTCCGTTGCCAGGACTGGCGTCCAGGCGCCAGAGAAGCTATGGACGAATTTCGGGGGTGGCTCAAACCAACCAAGGAAAGGTGGTTTGTCTCTCGTAGTGTACCTTTTGATTATTTCACGACAGATGTGAGCGTTCGTTGTCCAATGTTTCTGTAACGATTTAAGCTGGACATTTTGAAAGAAAGGATTTCTGGAATCAGAGCTCACACTAAGCGGTGTTTGTGATGTAGGCCCTGAACCCTTCCACCCGATCGTGCAGTTCCAAGCCAGCGGCAGAATTTCATGGCGGAAGTTTAACGTGCTGCGATGTTTGGAACAGCCCGTCCTGCCCTCTGACGTTACCTGACCTTGCGCGTGGCCACTGTCATCGGTCGGAAGCCATATCTGTCAAGGGCAAATGGATGGTATGCAATCTGTTCGTAAAGCGTTGGTTGGCCCGCATCTATTTTCCTCTAATCTGGTGTGCTCTTTCCTCTAATCTGGCGTTCCTCTAATCCTCTAATCAATGCTGGAGGATGTTTGTACGATAGCGGCCAAAGGAGTGAGGCTCAGTGGTGGCTCAGTTCTGGCTTTCCATCCCGTTCAAAACCCTGCTATGCTCTCTTGCGTGGAATGGTCTGGAATGATGAGTTGCTCGAGCCGTATCTGGTGTTGGAGATATCAGATACGCGGTATCTGATATCTCATCATCATATCTTCATGCAACGTCAGCCGTGCAGCGTCCACTTCCATGACGCATTTACTCCCTTTGCTGCCGTTTTTTGGAGAGATAAGAGGTATAGGATCTTGCATCCATTTATTGCTAGTGCAATGAACACAGGACGCAACCGCAGTGAAGCACACGGGACACTTATCAAACATGGCGCGCGGGAGAAACCAGCATCCAACGATTCCTGCCACCGCGCAGCCAATGAGAGATATTCTAGGACTGCTATTTGCTGAGGGCGAGACAACGGCATCAAAATGAACGGAGGTGGGCTTTTCTCTCGATCTTTGCTTTCGTCGATGGTCACTTCCTTGGATCTGAAAAGAGGCGGAGCGTCAATGCAACACGACATCAGAGTGCCCAAGGGACAGCCGCCGGGGCCATAGGATGAATGTCGCGCCCACCCTCAGAGCTGAGAACTAACCACTAGTGCTCTACTGACTTCGAAGCAAAAGCCTGCACACACGAGTCGTTGATCCGACTAGGCATTGTCCTGCAACTGTTAAAATAGACCTGCAGTGACTTCGGCCGAGTTAAAGCCCAGACATATCAGATTACGCCGCTGGGGGAAGGCTGACGTACCGTGCGGCCAGCCAGCAGGTGCTCAGGCCTTCTCCTGGTTGGCCGTGTCGGCCGACGCCGTGGACACGGTCTCGGCTGCGCGGCTCTTGGGCGCCTCGTCGTTGCTGATGCACACCCACGGCATGTGCTTGCGCAGCGCCGCCCGGTACTTGGGGTGGCTGAGCGCGTACACCAGCGGGTTGTACGTGCTCACGGCCTTCGCGAAGAGCGCCGGCAGCGCCGACACCAGCGGCGTCACCAGCATCGGGTTGCCGCCGATGCCGATGGCGACGACGATGCAGTATGGCGTCCAGCAGAGCGCCCACACGGAGATGTTGGCCAGCGCCACCTTGGCAATACGGATCTCGGCCGACTGCTTGTCCTGGTCGGCGTTGCTGCGCAGCGTCGACACGTTCATCTTCTTCGCCTGCTCCTTCAGCGCCTTCTCGTGCTGGAACTACGGCGTTCACGATGTGGTAGTAGAAGAAGCAAATCGTTAGGATCGGCATCATATAGAAGAAGATGATGCAGCACCAGATGTAGGCGGTGTTGGTCACCCCGCGGTCGAAGTAGTCGAACGTGCACGAGTCCAGAATGCCCTCGGGCACGTAGGCTCCGATGCCGAAGAACGGTAGGAGGGTGAAGGCCAGTGTGTACCCCCAGATGAGCAGCATGATGCCGAACGCCTTGCCGGTGGTGAGAGGTGCGGCGTTGAAGGACTGCACGATGACGCGGTAGCGGTCCCAGCTGATGGCGACAAGAGAGCAGATGCTGCAGAGGCCGCTGACGGCACCCAGGAAGCCGGCCACCTCGCAGGCGCGCGGCCCCAGCTGCCACGCACCGCCCAAGAACGCGTTGTAGATGAAGGCCGTGTGGTTGGTGGTAGGTCATGACGAGATCCGACAGGGTCAAGTTGATCACCAACATGTTGGACGGAGTGCGCAGCCCCTTGTCCTTCAGGAACAGGTACAGCGCCGTCAAGTTGCCGAACATGGAGACCACGACTGAAACGAGGCCAAACGGTGAGGCCCAGCCCTGCGCTGCGATCCTGACAAGGAACAGGAAGATTGCATTTATTTTTTGCAGAGTGAATCAACGCCTAAGTTCAGCAAAAGTAGCCACTAGATACAGTAAAGCCTGTGTCGACACTGGAGAGCTAATGTAGCGCATACGGGGACTGAAATATTACAACAGGCTCTCACCATGCCTCGACAAAAATGAAGTGCTTACCACCTCACATCTGCGCAACAAAATAGGTACTAGTCATCTCCTAGCTGATGAAGGGCGACAGCTGCATCGAATTTTCACACATGGAAAGCAAAAAGGTTTGAATAAAGATAGGTCAAGCGTACAACTGTACCGCTTACACTATATCACACAGTTGTCGAATGCCGACCATGTTGTACTTACACAAGACCAGGTAGATCATGCCGATCATGTAGTGCCAGAGCGGATTGACTGGCGGGAAGTTGTACCAGTGCTTGGGGATGATCTCAAGCATTTCGGCAGGAGCGGTGTCAGGCACCCGGGCGTTGGGGTCGAACATCCAGCCGAACTTCTCATCGCGGGCCGAGACCGCGAAAACCTGAGGGCAGTCGACGAGAGGTCAGGCAGGAGCGGTGTCAGGCACCCGGGCGTTGGGGTCGAACATCCACGAACTTCTCATCGCGGGCCGAGACCGCGAAAACCTGAGGGCAGTCGACGAGAGGTCAGGCAGGAGCGGTGTCAGGCACCCGGGCGTTGGGGTCGAACATCCGGCCGAATTCCTCATCGCGGGCCGAGACCGCGAAAACCTGGGGGCAGTCGACGAGAGGTCAGGCTGGGCCGGCCCAGGAGGTCATGCTGGGGCTGTCCTTGATGTCAGACGCACTGGGGGTTTTCACGATTGTCCAAGAGGCGAGACTGAAGAGGTCCGTGAGGTCAGACAGGGGGAGGTGACCAAGGTCGAATTGTGAGCGGTTTGGGGGGCCCTGAGCTGCCGAGGGTCGAGAGGTCTCGAGCTGCTGAAGCTCGAAAGAGTTGACTTGAGATATCCGACGCGATTGCCCTGATAAAGCTGGGAATGAGTTCGGCAAAGGTGTTCACGAAGGTGTCACTGCCACCTAGGCTGAGCAATACGCAGTTAAGTTCAACAGCAGTAGTTGTGTAGATGATTTGGGCCTGATGACAGTGCAAAGTATTTAGCGATACGTAAAATTTAGGTTAACGGATTTTATGCGTTACTAGTCAAATGACTGTTCGTCACGCCTCAGTGAAAGCAGAGGTGCATAAAGAGACCATGGCTGGCCAGGAAGCGCGGGCACAACTATGATGGACTGTACCCGAGGGCATTCC